CCCTCTGCCAGCACTCACCTCCGTCCATGTAGAGGGACCAGAAGATGACCCGGTATCCCTTGAGCACCCCGTTGAGGGTGCTGCGCGGGGGCTCCGACCAGGAGATCACGGCCACGTCCGACGTGATGGAGATGGCCCGCACGTTCTCGGGGGGCTGGCTGGGAACTGCGGAGGGGACGGATGGAGGGGATGATCAGCAGGAGCATGGAGAGGCAGCACGTGCCCGGCAGATGCCAGGATGAAGGAGCCATGGCCCGTGGGTCAGCGCCGAGGCTGGGGCAACCCCCGTGCTCACGGGGACGGGGAGGCTGCTGGGACACGCTGTGTTTCCCAGGAAGGGGAGAGCGGGAGGGCTGGCTGGATGTGAAGTAATTAGATCCCATTGCCCCATAAGAGGTAACTCTAATTTTTATGAGCATTTAAATGATAATACATCACCGTAACGATCCTCTTCGAAAATGATTATTGTTTCATATTACTTAGGTGCAAAAATATAAGCACCATGTAATTAGGGACAGAGGATAATAAACTAATACAGATAGTCCGTTTGAACAAAATGAAGGTAATATAATTACGGAAAAGGCACTATTGCTAAAACGGGGGCCCTTGAATACCCCAGGAGGAGTGCTAACATAGCCAGGAAATGATCATGGTTTGACAGGCTAACGAGAGCCCTAATTAAGTATGAAAAACTGCTGAGCAAACGCACGGCAAAACTTTTTTCTCCTTGTTTACAAAATGCCTGAGGCCACCAGCAACCCCTCTCGGATGGACACCCCCTTGGCGCTCCATATATCCACCTTGGTGTCCTTCTGACAGCGCCAGAAACCCCTTTACGTGGCACTTGGCATCCCAAAACCCGTTTGGGACAGGGCAGGGGGTGGCTGAGGGCACCCCCAGGGCGAGAGGAGCCCCGATGGGGGCCGGGACGGCCTTACCATCTTCCAGTGTGGTGGCGTTGATCTCGCTGGACGACGGCCCCGTCCCTGCCCGGTTGAACGCCTGCACCACCACCCCATACTGGGCAAACTTCTTGAGGTTGTCCAGCGTGTAGACCTCGCCGTCTCCCGTGGCTTTCATCTCCACGATGCTGTACTGCCCGTTGCTGCCGGGGCTGTTCTCCCGGTAGCCTATCTGGTAGCCGCGGATCACCCCGTTCTGCAGCTCCTTCTTCGGGGCCTTCGGGGTGCAAGAGGGAGCGATGCGTCACTCAGGGGCTCACAGGGCTCCCTTCCCGCGACCACCTCTCCCCACGTCCCCTCGCAACGCGCCGCAGCATCCTCTGGCCGCGGCACCGCGTGGGTCGGAGAACCCAGGGCCACCCAGTGCTGGGGCGGGGGG